CTCGGTAACCTGTGTGCCAAATGGGAGCCTGGGTTCTTCACATGTCTTCTTCAGGGCTCTGCTTTCCTCAGGATGGGTTTTTGAGGATGAAAGGATGCAGCACCTTCGTAAGCTAAAGAGAGTGTTAAGGGATAACGAAAATATTTCCGAGCCACACAGAGGGTCAAGGACGTGCCCGGGATGCCTCCAAATCGGAAAGAGATGCCGAGTTGGAAATCAAAACAAAATCTAAGGCTCTCCAAGGCGAGACAGAAGGGCCTTAGACACACATATGGTTTCCATCTCTCGCTGAAAGAGCTGGATCTGAACTGCGTTTCGGAGCACATATGCAGTTTCATAAATAGCATTAGGTACGTCAGGATACCTTCCAACCCAGAAGGTTAGCAATGTCCTTTGCACAACTTGAGATCCCCTTTTCTGAAATCAAGCCTTTGCAGAGCCTCCCGGCTGCTCTTGGGTCCTCATAAAACTTGGTTTTCACACGTGTCGGGGAAGCTTCAGAGGCATGCTTTGTGAGGAGTCTAATGAGAATGCCAGAATTTTCATTTTAGGGTAAAAGGTAAAAACTAAGCCATCCATAATTTTAACTTTTCGAAAGTATATCAATGAGATGAATATGGGGGATAGACCTTTTGATAAAATTTATGTTCTGTCAAAAGAACAGGCCCAATCAGATGCTCACCAGAGTTAAAACATGGACATTTGCATGGTTAGGAAGAATTTGCAGAATCTAGAGGTGTAGCTCTTCCAAATTCTTCCTTGAGAACAGTGTACCCACCTGCTGTAAAATACAAAAGAAAATTCAAAAATTCTGAATCTGAATTGTCCCTATTTACTCCAAATTTATTGAATTGGGGCCAACAAACAAGGAAACTCCTGTGGAGGGGTTTGTGTGTGGAAATGTTAGCTCCTGCCGCTGCGTCCCAGGATGTGCTAATCGCACACTGCCTCCTCATCAGTGCTCCAGGAGGTGGGAACGGTGGAATGGTGTGTTTTCCAGTTACATGTGGGCTGGGATTGGCTCACTTTTTGCCGAAACTCATGATATAATTCCAATTGCTATGGTTCTAGAGCATAAAAAGAAAGAGAAAAGGAAGCCACAATGATTGCTTATCCTTTAAATGGATTCACTGACCCAAACATTATCATTTTAATAGATTCCTACCCAACCAGAAATAAATACAATAGTTACTAAATTATTTATGAAAAACAATATCCCATCTGAGGTATTCATACCAGTTGTATGGAAGCCAAAGTTCTCCGCAAACTCCCAACCTGCTCCTTTGCTTGACGGAGTTAATGTGCTCCTGGAGAGGGGGCTGAGAGTCCGGCAGGGGCCAGTCCACAGGGCATGGTCCTGAGTCCGTGTCTTCCATGTGACACCAAGACAGCACTCTGGAATCCTAGCCCACTGAGGTAAGGCACAGGTGCACCTCAGGACTCCACCTCCGCTGTCTGCCTGGAGAGCACAGTCCTTGTCATTTAGCAGGACCCTAACCCACCACCCTTGCGCAGCTGGTAGGAAGAAGACCACAGGAAGACTGGCTGTCCCCCATCCTCAGTGTGCTTCTGGTCACATCGCTTCTGCCCAACTCTTCCCCGCAGCCCGGGGAAAGCTGGCCGTGGGACCCTGAGACCACACAGTCAGTGCTGGAGTGACTGTCGCTTCCAGTCAGGCAGTTAAACGCTGATCCCAGGGCCATCACAGAGCCTTGGCAGGCACAAGGCGTACCAGAGGAAGGGCAGATCCCCAGGGACAGACCCATGCCAGGCACCTGCTCCTCTCACAGGGCAGTGGGAGTCTCACTGGAGAACGTCGGAGGAAGCAAAGGGAAGGTTGCACATGCTCTGTCCCTCCTTCCTTGGTGGGACAGTGACTTGCTGGCCATCTACCATTGGAGCTGCTGGCAGTCCCAAGGATCCCTGCCAGAGATGCTGCTGTGGTTCCCGGGGGAGGAGGCGGTCAAAGAACACCTGTCCTCCCTACACAATGGGGTCTTCAAAGATGAAGCCCCGAGGGCCACATTAGGAAGGTGGCAGTTGGTTCGACAGGACCTCTGTGTCTTGGGTTGGTGGTGTTGGAAAGAAGGATTTTTGTTCATTGTTTTTGCCTTTAGCAGTACCGGGGATCCAACTCAGAGCCTTTGCACCAGGCCACACCCCAGCCTTTCTCTCTCTTCTCTTGCTTGCTTGCTTGCTTTTTAAGACAGGATCTCCCTAAATCATCAGATTGCACAAATTTGGCCCAAAGTCATAATCTTCCTGCCTCAGCCTCTCAGAGTGCTGGGATTACACAGGTGTGTGCCACCATGCCCAACAGTTTTCCTTTAGCGAAGTCCAGTTCTCCCTTCTCTACCCTTGTTGGCTTTGTGATTCTGTCCATGTGGACGAATTTTCCAGAAGCAACTCAAGTCCAACAGGGAAGCTGGACTTTCCATGAGCACTTCCACAGTGACCTGGCTGCATACAGAGCCTCCGGGACACAACGCCACCCTTCTGGGGCTGGCGTGGGATGTGGGATGGGACCACACATGGGAGCATGCAGGCTCAGCGTCGTAGGCCTCCCCCCTCCCCAGTGTCAGTGAGGGAGTGGGGCTGGAGAAGGTGGCACAGACGGGGACCCACGCACTGTTCCCTCACCTCCAGAACTCTTAGACAATGGCCTGCACTGATGGACACATCACCTCTTAACCCGGGGTCACCCTGGGCCAATAAGACTCGCTTCCTGCCTGATGAGTCACAGTGTCGGATGCCCTGTGCGCTGCCTGGCAGAGACTGTGGACTCTGCTGTTCTGGTCCTCCCGGGGCAGCCACACCCTCTCTCTGCTCTCCAGCCACCCTTCCCATTTGCTGATATTGGGCACAAATTTCAGACTACAACAAAGTGGAAACGGGCTGTCCCCAGGGCTGCCTGGCCTGGTGTGCTTCTGTTCATTGCTGACCCCAGCCTTGACCTGTGGGGACACAGCCCTGAAGGGCGACAGGGGCCCCTTCCTTCTTCTGACTCTGCATAGTCCTGTCCCCTCAGCGGTCTAGCAGGGTGCATTAGGCCAAGTGGTTCTGGAACAGCATGTGGATTAAGGAGCAGAGACTGAGGGGTCTTGGGGGGAACTGTCCACCCAGTAGTACTTGCCCATTCTGTCTGCTGCTTCTATTCAGTACCAGTCACTGGAGTACCCAGCTTCTTCCTTTGTTTTTCATTTTTTTGTTGATGAGTCCAAGTTTGCAACACGGAATGATGACACATCTCCGCTCCCTTTACGTGCCCTTCCCCTCTCTTCCCTTCCCCTTTCCTTGAGAGGAAACAGCAGAAATAAGTGAAGAATACAGAAAATCATCTTTCCTCACTCCATTCTACAAACCTAGAGAAACTACTATCCAGTTACAAATACCAGAGAGGCAGAACTTAGCAAAATCCATATAAATTCCGCCTGGGCAGTGTTCACTGGGGCACAGGGTGCTGTGTTATAGCAACACGTAAAGGTGGAGGAGACAGGAAGTGGGCTGAGAATGTCCATATCTCAGTGTGGCCAGGGGGTCTGAGCTGTGTCCAGGTCACCCCTCTCTCAGATCTCATGGGCTTTCACGTGGCAATGCCGTTATTCAACATGGCGCCTATGGGGACAGAGCCCTGGAACTGGAACTGTCTCAGCCTGCAAATGGCATCCCTTTACCCGCAGGCCTCCAGGCAGAACAAGTTAGATGACACTGAGCTACTTGCAGGCTGCTCAGGAAGGAAGGGGCCCAGACATAGTGAGCAGGACACCTCCTACAGTGTCCACCAGTGGTCAGGCTCCTCACTGCGACCAGATGCTCTTGTGACCCACCCCCTTCACAACTGTCAGCCGCTGTCCCTTCTGACAAGTGGCCAGTCCTATTGCTTCAGGAGCAGTGACCTCCTGTGACCCAAAGGCCACACGATGAGCTAGGGTTGCTCATCACTGCACCCAGGAGCACCGCCAACACTGCTGTCTGGCCCAAAGACACTGATAAATATCTGCCATGCCAAGGTCACCGGCAAAACGTCCAAGTGACAGGAGGGCAAAACTGGTCGTCCAGAACGGCTACCAGCACTGAAGTCAGCACTCTACCCCCAGCTGGGGGTAAAATTGCAAATGCTGAGGAACCCTGGCGAGTAGGGTAGAGCTGAGGCTCTACCAGAGGACAGGAGGGCAGAGGCAGGGAGCCTCTCCAGGGTTCCCTGCTCAGGGACAAAGCTTCTGGCCTGGGGAAGGGAAGGGCGTGCATGGGAAGCCATGTGTGGGCACAAGGTAGAGCCTGGGGGGCATGGAACCTGAGGAAAGGGGCTCGCTCTGCCTCCAGCAGTGCTCCCTGAGAAGTGGCCTCAGCTCCCAGATGTGCCCGGATGGTCGACAGCGCAGTCAGGGAAGAAAGCATGCAGACTCACTGTGTGCAGCTTCCATCTCCTGGACACAGAGAGAGCCGCTGGCTGAGGCCGCACAGGGTGGCACCGGGAGGCCCAGAACCTCCCACCTGCCTGCCCCTGAGGCCCAGAAAGGTCCCTGAGGACCTGACCCTGGCGATTTGATGGCTTCTCCACCTTGGAAAACGTGACTTTTCTCTATGTCTTTCACAGCAATCCAAGGAGTCCGTGCCCAGCAGCACCAGGCAGTGCTGGGCCCCTCCGCCTCCTACTTCCATACCAGACGTGAAACAGGAGGTGCCCTCCACGGACCTCCTCAGCCCGGGGACAAGGACAGCAACCTGGACAAGGAGGCCCACGTTTGAGGTTCCGAGCACAGGCTGGGCCCCCGGGGTCACCTGTGCGGCGCTGCCAGTGCCTGACTGAAGGCTGCAGGAGGGGCTGCCAAGTCCCTGCTCTGTCACGGAGCCCCCAAGCCGCGCCTTCTCCTGTACTGCGAGGTCACTGCCTGTCAGCCAGGACTCTTGGGGTGCTGCCAGCACCACAGTGATCACGTAGGTCATACCCGGCTGCACACACCGAGCGTGGAAGGTCTCACAACTGGTCTGAGGTCGCCAGTGCTAGGAGGCCCAGTGGTGGCATTCGCTTCCCAGGGCCTAGACTGGGTCTGGGGACAGATGCACCCTTGGCTTCCACGTGCCACAAAGCAGAGGTGAGTTGTAGTACACACCAAGAATGGGTGCGCTTGTGCTAGGCCTCATCCATCCTCCCTTCCTCGCTTGCTTCCTTCCCTCCCTCCCTCCTTCCCTCCTCCTTCCCTCCCTCCTTCCCTCCCTTCTTTCTTCCCTCCTTCCTTCTTTCTCCCTCTTTTCCTTCCTTCCTTGCCTATAAACAGGAAGCGCCCTGTCCTCCTGTGGCAAAGGCCATACTATATGTTCTCTAAAGTCTCCTAATATGCTTGGTGACAAAATAGAAAAATCAGAACCTTCATTCTCTTTTCTTAGAACTGATCAGTTTATTTTTGAACAGACACTAGCTGATCCTGTTGTTAAAGAGCCACCTCGCTTGCTGACCCACATGCCGGCTATTTCCCTACCTTGCTTTTCACCCTCTACCTTTTCCTTCACAGTATCTCCCCAAGGTCGGTTTTATTGATGCCGGTTTTTACAGGCTGCAAAAGACGCCCAGGAAGAGAGATCACTCTTTCTACAATTACACCACTACTAAGTGCCGGAATGGAAATGCAGAGATTGGAAGGATCCAAACCCAGGTTCCCACACAGGACGGAAGTTCCCGCCCTCCGGCCAGAACCGATGGGAATTTGACACAGGCGAAGCGCATGCGTGGCAAGCTCCGGGCTCTTCCTGAGGATGTGCCAGAGACCCGTTTGCTGCACACTGTTTGAGAGAAGCCTAGAAACCCTCAGGGCGCCACCCCCCACCCGGTCTGGACCCAGTCTAAGGGTCCCTGTCCTAAGCATTTGTCCCCCTGAGCACCAGACCCCTGGTCTCTCCACACCATTGCAGAGAGGACAGCGCCACCCACCCAGCGCCTCCTGCAGCAGACAGAGGCCCGGCTGGGACACCCCAAACTTCCTCCGCTCCTCCACCCAGCTCCTATCAGTAACTGAGAGACCAGCGACTTTGAGGCTGTGCCGTAAGACACTTTTATTTACCTACTTAGAACATGGAGTTGGCTGAGGTCAGAGCCAGGCAGGAGAGGCACCAGCCAGGAGCTCTGGTCCGGGCTGTGCCACTCGAAGGAAGAGCAGGACTCCGGGTGCAGGGGTGCGAGGGGGCACCTCGGTGTCTTGTTCAGAAAAGTACCATGTCCTTCGGGGAAGGAAGGTTTGGACAGGGAAAGATCGAACCTCTTACGTGAAATAGGAGCTCGCGAACGTTCAAGTGTGGCCAGGCCACTAAATAATTAATCAAGCGCAGGCGGTGGCAGTTTGAAATGTAAATGTCCGTGTGGCCCTGGAGGAGGATGTGCGCAGAATGTCGAGCGCCTGCGCCCTGCCTGCGCAGGAAGGCGGGCAGGTGAGGCTTCCAACAAAGGACCCAGCACCCCTCATTCCTGACTTTGACCTGCAGTTCACTTTCATGTCCCTGTCCCCAAAGAGATGTTAAAAAATGATGAAGCGCTGGCTGGCGGTGGGGGAGGGAAGCGAAGCAGTCGGGAGCCCTATTACCTGACAGCCAGGCTGTGGGTGACACCCCTGAGACACCTCTCCCCGGTGCTCTCCCGCTCCGCGGATAAAAAGGGCACCTTTTGTCTCTTCTCCTCCCCCTTCCCTCCCAAACTCTCTGCCAGCCACTCAAAGGTGGGGAGCAGCTGCACACCAGGAACAAAAAAGAAGATTGACTGTGGAATGCTGCAGATGAGAGACTCCTTCACCTTATCAAGCTGCAGCTTCAAAAACAAGTAAATAAAATCCGGAGAAGACACAGCGCCTCCTCTCTTTACTAAACACTGATCAAAATCCTCTATCCTGGAAAAGATTCGGCAGCTCGGCCCCGCGGGCCTGGTGTCTAGGGTGGCAGGCGTGCAGCCCCAGGCAGCCGGTGCGCGTCAGGTGAGGAATGTGCGTGGCTCCTCTCTTTCCTCATCACCAGCCTTCGCTGGCAAGACTGCTGCCAGCCCGCTAGCCTCCCGGGGCCTCTCCTGGCACCCACTCTGCACTGTACATAAACATGTGATGGGACAATCTGGGGAATGCTTAATTTTCTAAAATTTATCACAGTGAAAGACCCATTGTTACTCCTCCTCCTCCAGACACTCCCCTCGCTTCAGACACACTCATCCCACTTTTCCTTCCCCTTCCTGCAGCAGCTCTGAAGTCCTCTGTCTCAAGCGTCATCAGCTGCACCACCTTAGCTGCCTGGATGACCTGAGCGGATTCACGACATTGGCGTGCTGTGGTCATTTTGGCTTTGGGGAGCAGTCAGCAGCCAGATCCGGTGAACAGGGTGGACGGGGCACAGTGCGGTGTTTTCCTGAGCTGCCTCTCCGCTGGATGGCACCGGGCAGCCGCAGAAAGTGGTAAGCTCTCTGGGACACGCGTGTTCAGAGCGAGTGGGAGTATTCGGAGGGGGACTCACAACATTGCGTCTTACTGTAATGCTTTTAATTTAAGCACTCACCATGTGTTTCCACCTCCCTTTCCATGTTGCTGAGTCACACCTGCCTGCCTCCCACACACGCAGGACGGCGGCCTCTGCTGTCCTCAGCTCAGGAGCAATGTGCGGTCACAGGCTGAGAGGCAGTCAGTTGGGGAAACAGCTGTGCTCCAAGGTAGCAAGAGCCCAGGGTGCCAGGCAGGGTGGTCAGAGGGGCAGTGCCAGGGGGATGGGCACAGGTAGAGATGGAGGAAGGGACAGGACCTGCTGGGCCCCAGGGCAGCAGCTGGTGGGGGGGCAGTGGCTGGGCAGCCTCCCTGTGGCGGTGGCTGGGGCACCTGTGAGTGTCCTCATTTTGCTCCCTAGGCCAACCTCGGTGCCCAGGCCGAGTGGCCAAGTTCGGGGCCCTGGGCTCAGTCATGGAGGTTCTGGCTTGTCTTCCTTCCCCACCCCTCGCGGGCTCTGCTGCCCCTCTGCCCCTTGCCCCCTCTTGCCCCTTCCCTTCCTCCTATGCCTCCCTCTCCTTTCCTTTTTAGGCCTTTTCAGCTTCCTGATCTTTCTGCCCTGGAACAAAACCATCCATGCCTGTCCCTCCGGAAGTCCACACCCACCCCAGCCTCGCCGTAGCTCTGCCGATTTTCTGACTGTGTTGGTCACAGCACGACACCCACAACCTGAAGGAGGAGAGCTCTCCTGATGGTGAAGGTAGAGCTCGGGTGCGGGGAGGGAGACTGGCCTTGGGGTGAAGCCTGCCCAAGTGCAGGGCCTGATTAGGTTCTGTGTTAATACACAGCCGGCGCCCCAGCCCCGCCCTGGGGACTCACATTAAGCCGGCAGGGCTTTGGGTCTGCACTGTAGACCTTCTCCCCCATGTACACGCAAAGTGTTAAATGGTACCAAGCACAATCAAAGGTCAAAGTGAGGCCCCACCCCAGCGGGCCTCGCCCCCTGCTTGCTTTTTATGTATTCCTATTCATTCACCTACTCGGCTGGCGCTGGGAGGCAACCTGCTCTTTGAACGCATTTCAGAGTCGATGTGTCTCCTCACATCCCTGAGTGCACAGAGCAGAGCCGCACGCACAGCGGGAGCAGGTCCAAGTGTCTCTGCTCCCGGCTCACGTGGCCTTAAATTGGGCTTCACTGCCAGGCTTGCATAATTACCCCCAGTGGTCAGAAGTGGTGGAAGGTGGCCAGAGTCGGGTATGAGGATGATCCCAGGGATTTCGCCTTAGAGCCACGGTGGCACTTGAACAGGAGGACCCCGAGAGGCCAATCCGGGGGAGAAGAGCCCCCGCTGCCCATCCACCTTGGGAACACAGGGGGGTGGCAATGTGGGCTGCACTAACCTGCACTATCCCCGGCGCTGGGGTCTGCCCACTACAGGCAGCCCGGGGCCCTGAGCTGCCCAGGGGTGAAGTCCCAGGTGTGCCCCAGGCCTCCTACAGATGACTCCAGTGATAGCAGGACCCCGAGGACAGTCGGCCCCCACGCCCACAGCGCCAGCCTTTTGGATGCACCCACCACAGGTGGAAACTGCTGATCACTGCAGCCTGTTCGTCCACCCTCTCCAAACCTCATGGCATAAGAACCATCTCCATAGCCCACACCGCATATCAACAGTCCCACGCCATCCCACGATGGCGCAGCTCACACAGGAGGACGTGCGCAGGGGGCATGCAGATACTGCTTCTAGGAGGCACCCATGCACAAGGGCTGTGAGATCTAAGCAGGCACCTGCAGCTAACACTCCTCCCTGGATGCCGAGGGATGTGCAGAACCCCTGTCTCTGCTAGAGCTGTGGCCGTCTATAGTGACTCTCTCACTCTTGTAACTAAGAAGTTAAAATGTGATATCCTTTTTTGTGTGAAATATAATTCAAGAAAAATTAAAATGTTTCCATGTCAAAAGAGCACACTCAACCCCCTTCATATATTTAATGAATATATATTACTCAAAAATAAATAGTAACAGTAAAATGCTTACGTTCATATTTTTGTGAGTCATAGATAAAACACACAGTGTGGAATATTTCCGGGACTGGGTCAGGATGACCTTCCACGTACCCTCTCATTGATGTCACAGTGTCTCTCTGCCCGCACACAGGCTCTGCTTGGCCCTGAGGACATGCACGTGGCCTCTGGTGTCGCATCCTCTGCACAGCCGGCAAGCCTCCACCTGCTCCGTGCTGCTGTCCACACCGCCCTGCAGTGACACCTGTCACTGTGTCCCTTTGACTGCGTCGGAGAGGGCCCTCGAGACACCACCATCCTTCACAAGCTCCACCCCTGTCCAGACCTCAGCACCAGAGTCACTGACAGCAAGGCCAGGAGCCAGCCACAGGGCCTCGGGGTGGGGCGGGAACGGAGTAGTCCCTTCTCTCAGAGGAAGGCTCCCCTCCCTCCTCTTTCTTTCTTTCTTTCCTTTCTTTCCTTTCTTCTTTTCTTTCTTCTTTCTTTCTTTCTTACTTTCTTTTAATCTCAGGTATATTTCTTTTTTAAGACAATTATCAGCAAAAGCTTTGACAGGAAGAGTAACCAGTGAAAATGCTCATTTTAATCATGAGGAGATAAACAGGGCTTCTTACAGCTTGAGAACAGAGACCAGAACGCACCACACATCCAGCTGATTCTTTGCCAACCAAGTCCGGGTCTGACCCATCATTACTTCTGTTTTGGTTTCTCCCAGGGGCTCACATGTTTGTCAGATTCAGCACCACCGTCAGTGAAGGAAGCAAACTCTCCTGACAAATCCAAGCCGGGCTGAGCTTTGTTTTGCTCTTTCTTTTTTTTAAATTTTTTCATTTTTATTGTTACAAGTGCGTGATCACGTTCTTCCTTGGGAACTGGAACGTGGACATCCCACACCTTGGTCCTTGCTCATCTCCTTCTCTCCTCTTCCCCTTTGAGAAGATTCTTCTCGCTCCTGCTGCTCTGAGATTGATCTACAAGGCCAGCACCTCTGATCTCACCCTCCAGCCTCCCACTCTCTTCCTCTCTCTTATTTCCTTTCTGTGCCCACCTCTTACTGTCTGTCCATCTTTGCGTCTCTTGGCTCCTATTTCTCTGTCTCTCTCTGTCTCTGTCTCCTGCCTGTTATCAGCCTGCCTACTCTACCCTCCAAACACATCTGCAGCCCTTCTTTCTCCCACCCCAAACACCCCTGTCCGATCCCCATGCAGTCTAACCACCCAGCCCACCCCCACTCCCCTGGGCCATCTGTGGACCCAGCCCTGGACCTCCCCCGCCGTCTGTCAGCCTGCTATCTACCACAGCCCGAGGTGTTCTTCAGGGACACCTCACAGGTCCTTCCGTTGTCACCTTCAGCCCCGCCTGACCCAGGAACACCAACCTACCTAGGCCGCCACCGGGGCCTCGTGGCATCTCATGGTGTGGCTGGGGACATCTTGCCACCTCTGTGCTGCTGGGGAGACAGAAGTTGGGAGGCGCTGTCACCAGGCCCCAGGTGCAGGTGTCCGGCATTCCTGCCACAGTGTGTGCGTCCCTCTGTAGCTCAGGGGTCACTCTGTGCTCCCCTCCAGTCTTGCAGGTAGGGGAGGCTCCCAAATCTAGGATGGGTCTGCTGAGGAGTGAAGGGCCAATGGCCGTCCTCTGTCCCTTCTGCAGCACAGCTTGGTTTCTTTGCAATGACTTCACTGGAGATGAAGTCCCGTCCTTCAAGGCTGCAGTGCCCTCGCAGGACGAGGTCCCGGGCTGTCGCGATCTTCATTATTGCTATCACTTACTAAGGGTGTCACCAGGCCTGACTGGAAGTAGATGTGTCTGGGCCCCATTCATGGTCTCCCTCACTTAAGAAGTCATTGTGCAGAAGGGAACTGAGCAACTGCCAACTTCCAGGCCCACAGCTGCGTTGGCCTTGGCACAGGTGGACATGACCTGCTCACGGGGCACCAAGGATGAGGCGGGTGAAGGAAGGGCCAGGGCCACCCTTGCAGGGACACTAAGGTTCCTGGGCATAGCTCCAACTCAGCCATGTGTCAGCCCAGACAGCAACTGCTTCCTCCACAGATGCCCATGACGAATGTCACAAAGCCCATCTCACCTGGGTCACTCAAGGACTCCGAAGCACCTGGGTCACTGCAGCAACCTCCTTCCTCAGGCTCTGCGCACACAGGGGACGGGGACACCCTCGCCAGGTGCCACCCTCCCCATCCCTGCTTCCTGGTACTGTTGCTATGTGGGCGATGCCCTGGCTTGGAAACGGGAATGACAGAAACGACCTTAATGGCCAAATCCATCCTGATACTCTCTTTTCAGTTCTTTCGTTTCTCCTGCCTTTACCTTTAAGAAAATGTTAATGTATTCCTGATGAAATTCAGTGTGGAAAAATATGTTTATCTGCCTAGGTTTAAATTTTTATTCGTTTTCAGAAGATAGTGGTGCTGCCAAGGAAGTCGGCCCCATCTCTGCCAGCTTCTCGAGCACGGCCACCGCGATGACCACGGCAGAGCACCAGGAAGGGACCCAGTGCCCGGAAGACCTCAGTTCTCTCTGCTTCGGCATGGGCCTGGTTCTGCCCACTTGGGGCTGGGGGCCTGGTGGCAGCCAACCCTGCAGTTGTCACTTACCGCCTCCAGTCAGGCCCAAAAGGATGAGGCGTTTGTCACTGTGAGGGGCGTCCAGATGTGGAGCAAACCTTACATTTTCCTGTGACACTGGAGGCCTGGGTTTTCTGACAGCCCACGTGCATTGTGCGTCTCACAGAGGACCAGGAGAGAGGAGTTTGAAGGCTCCAGCTGTGAGGAAGGACAAGGCAAGAGGTGACAAATGCCAGTCACCAGGACATGGGCGTGAACTGTGTACCCGGCCATCCAGCCGCACCCCGGAAGTGAGCACGATGACTTCTAGCAATGCACACATTTGCTTGGGAAAACATGGGTGAAGGGAAGATAAGCCTGGATCTTCCTCCTCTGGCTCCCCGTACACCCCTGCAGCCTCACTGCTCCATAAGGGGCCTCCCTCCCCAAAGCCTTTGGGTTTGTGATTGCAGCCAGCTCCACTGCCAGGACCTTCAGCTTGCTATGAAATGAAAACAAAGGCTGCAGACAGCCAGGCAGAGGCAGGGAGGGAACACAGGCCAGACCTGGGGACTGAAGACCTGGGGACCCGAAACCTGGAGACACATTAGAGCCACCGCTCCCCACAGCAAACAGCCATGGGTCCCGGGCCAGGGCCTGCAGCAAGCAGAGCCAGCTGCCTACGGTCAGATGGGGGCCAGGCAGCCTCTCACTGTTTGGTTTCTAAACCTGCTTCCACCTCCAGAGGCCTGGAAGGGCTCAGGGATGGTGAATCAACACAACATTTAATTAACTGCACATTAAAGTTTCCAGCATTCAAGGTAGGGAATTAGGGACAGTGCACTTTCCACAGCGCTCATTAATGAAAAAATAAATTCGAAAACCTCCCGAGCTGAGGGTGGCCTTTGCCCCTCGAGGTGGCTGCCTGTCCTGGCTCCTGGTTGCCCGATAGGCAGGCACTTGTGGACTGCCATCTAGGAAGGACACACAGTCACCAACCCCGGGGAGCCAACACGATGAAGGACCCAGGGGCACAGCCACCAGGGGACACCAACAGGCAGGCTGCCTCCACCAAGCCCCATCTCAGCCAGGGCAGCTGCCAGCCACACACACTCCCATCTACCCGGAGGGGGATGTGGCCACCTCCATCACCACCAGCCACACTGTCCCATGCAGGTCCGGCTTATTGGAGGCAGAGATGCTGTTGACACCGCTCTGGAGCCCTGGCTGTGAGTTACTGTTGAGCCAGCATCAAACACGTTCTCGTCTCTGGCTTTTCCAGTTTTGAGAAAAAAAAGAGGGTCCTCCTTAACTTCAGTTTGTGCGTTGTGTCTTGTGGGTGTCGCTGTGTACTTTACTTCACTCCTGCCAAGGACTGAGACACTGCCCTGCTTCTGGAAGGAGCAAACTAATAACGATGGATGATCAGTTGCAGTTATTGCTAGGGAGACTCAAGGCCAGGACACAGGATGAAAAGAAATAACAAAGGCTGGTGAAGACACAGAGCAGGCAACTCTCAGACACTGCCGGTGTGAGTGTAAACCCGGCCAGCCAGTGTGGAGGCTCCTTAGAAGACAGAGAACAGAAGCATATGTGCTCCAGCTACACCATTACTGGGTATATGCATGAAAGAACTGAAACCATTGAATCAAGACACCACACACATACCTCATACTCACAAAGGCCAAGACAAGATTTCCATCAGGTTGACCATCAGTAGATGAACGGATGAAGAAAAATGCAGTCTTCTTCCACGGTAGAATATTATTTGGCCACAAAAAAGATGAAATCCTCTCATCATGGCAATGTGGATGAAGCTGTAGGGTTTATGCCTAGTGGAATAAGTCAGGCCCCAAAAGACAAACGCTACACGGCCTTCTCCACTGGTGAACACTAAACAGTTGGCCACATAGCAGTAGAGAGGAAATAAGAGGTCCTCAGGCATCAGGAGTCACGAAAGGGTGTAGGTCGTGGGTAATGCACGGCTAAGGGATTTTGCACGTAGCTGGCCTGCAATCACTGACTCTTGAGCAGTAAATCTAACAAATCCTAGTTATAGGTTGAGGATCATTAATCAGAAAGTATCCAATCAAAAATGCTACAGACTCCAGAAGGACTTCTTGGTTTTTGTTCATAATGATGCTTGTTTGTTTATTTGGTTTGTTGGTTATGGGACTGGGCATTGGATCCAGGACCCTTGCACTGAGCTACATCCCCCATTCTTTTTAAATATCTTCTGTTAATTTTGAGATGAGTTCTCAGTGACTCCGCTAAGTTGACCAGGTGGGCTTGAATTTGGAAGCCTCTTGCCTCAAGAATCCAAAAGGTTTTGAGCACAACACAAGGCCACAGTGGGAAATTCCACACCTGACCTCATTTCATGGGTCCTGATCACAACAGAGGTGCACCAAAAATACTGTATGAAATTC